ACTACCGAACAGTCTGGCAGCCACAGGGAGCTGGCCGGGGGCCTGCCAAGGCCTCTCCAGCTCAATCGTGCCCCACTGCCCAGACACAAAAATTGTATTCTGCTCAGGTAGGCAGAGAGAGGAGGAGTGATAGGGAAGCTCGTGGTTGTTTGTTGAAACCTGGGAGCTTCTCAGAAGTCGCAGTCCTCATTCAAGATGATTGTACCAGCCCCAGTGGGACACAAATGGAGCACTGAGGGTTGCAGCTGCTGCCATGGCCAGGCAGAAAGAGAGCTGCTGGGGTCAGATGTCCCTGTGTCCGCTCCTGCTCGCTGCTGGTCTCCATCTTGTGACCTGGGCGGCGTGTAACCCTGTCAAGGCCTTGCTCTGTCCCAACTCAAACATGGGGATGACCGTGTGGGCCCGGCCCTCACGGGCTGGGAGGGCATGAAGCCACACCCACAGAGGGCCTAGGAAAAGGGAGAAGCTCTGCGTGCACGCATGACCTGACACTGGGAGACAGCACGCTTCCCACGGCCTGCATGTCCAGGGGTCCCTTGTGTCTGAAAAGCCAGGGCAGAGGACCCTTTCCCCCCACCTCTCTCCTCCTCTTTACCAGACCCTTAGAAGATTGCTGAGTTACCGTGGCAACATTTCCCTGCCCGGCTCCCTGGAGGCCTTTCCCAGAGTCTGGAATTACTTTCTAGAATGTTTACCCACAAACATTTTATGTTGTCAGTCAGTTCAGGTGAGTCTTTCAGAACTGAGGAAACCCCTTTGTGGCTTTGCCAGGTCACAGCCAGCCAGGGAACGGGCCCCTCGAATCACTCCCGGGTGGGTGCCACTGGGCACTGAAGGCTTGAGGTGTTGGAGTGTGGCAATGTCAAGGTGAAACCACGGCCTGCTGGGAAAGCTACCCAAAGGCATGTCCCACTGACCCGCAGTCAGCAGCCTGAAAGCGTCATTGCCGATACAGGGAACATTGTCCGTCTGGGCTGACAGGAGAAGGCTCTAAAGATAAGGCAGGGCATGAACCCGACTCCATGACAGCCAATTAGCTCCACTCCAGGGACCCAGCTACAGTGACTCACGGACAGCCAATCAGAAGGCGCTGAACCAGAGACCTTTTTCAGCCAGACACACCTGTAACCTGCTAGCCATCTGTTGGACCACACCCCTGCCCCAACCATTCCAGAAAGAAATGTAAATCTCTGTATATAGTTGCATTGGGAGAGCTCTGTAACTCTAACATGGAGGGAGATGCAAGCCGGTATGTATGGAGCACAAAGACATACACCAATGCCATCCGCCTGGGTTAGAATTGGCAAAAGACAAAAGGTCCAGGAGATTGCAACAGACTTGAATATGTCTCTCCAGGGTCCGGTGCCAGCTTTCTATGAACCATTCCTCATCCAAAAAACAAAAGCAAACAAACAAAAATATCAACGAGGTGTCATCCATTGAAGTTCCCCTGTGAATACTGGGCTTTGAAGGGGACCGAGACTTCTTTTTTTTTTTTTTTAATTTTATTCTTATGTTAATCCCCATACATTACATCATTAGTTTTAGATGAAGTGTTCCATGATAGGGGACCGAGACTTCTAGCAAAGCCCAAGTTTATGGGTGAGGGCTGGGTCCCAACTCGGGGAATTCTCTATCTAAAGGAAGGCACAGTGCTCCTTATTGTTGGCAAGGGCATCTTGCCAAAATTCTAGGAGCCAGGTCAGACTTTGGTCACATGGGCCCACCTGGGGGATGTCCTAAATGGGAACCCCCAAAGTGGCAGTGGTGGGTCAGACAGGCCCAGGGGAAGACATGGGAAAGGGGCAATGTATTGTCTTCCCAACCTTCTTACCTGGAGCCTGCCCAAGTGTTGAGAAGTCTGGGATATCTTGTCATTTCTTTTTATTTTTTTTTTAAAGATTTTATTTATTTATTTGACAGAGAGAGAGAGCACAAGCAGGGTGAGTGGCAGGCAGAGGCAGAGGGAGAAGCAGGCTCCCCGCAGAGCAGGGGGAGCCCGACGCGGGACTCGATCCCAGGACCCTGGGCTCATGACCTGAGCCGAAGGCAGTCGCTTAACCGACTGAGCCACCAGGCGCCCTATCTTGTCATTTCTGATGGACAAATGGCCAAAGAGTTGTTCTAAGTTCATAGGAGCTGGAGCTCAGGGCTGTGTGCTAGAGTGACCTCAACAGAGGGAGATGGGGACAGTTTGCCACAGGGTAACCCAGGAGGAGGGTTTGGAAGAAATCCACACATTTTCAAGTCCCCCAGAGGCCAGGTGCTTTTGCTGCAAGTGCTGAGCTCCTCGGCATGGACCTGACTGCGCAGCCCCGCTAAGAACAAAGACAATGAATATGTATGAAGTGCATACTTTCTGTCAGGAGCCATGCTAGGCGCTGGGGTGGCCGCAGTTAACCAGGCACCGGCTTCCCCGCAGTCTGTACTCACATAGGGTAGCTTCTGCAAAGGCCCTCCCATCTTGGCTCCCACGATCACAGGATCCGAAGTCAGGCAAAACCATGAGCGAGTCTGCAAGTAGACCCGCGGGACTTTTTGGGCTGGTTTAGACAGGAAAGAAAACGCCTGAATCCCAGGAGGATTCAGAAGGGGAAGATCTGACCTCTGCAGCCAAGGAGAGCCAGAGGTGGGAGGAGTTTTGCCTGGGGCCAGAAATCATTCTGTCCATCCATGGGTCAAGTCTCACCTGAGACCTTGGACAGCCAGCTTGGCCCTGCTGGTTCCGGGGAATGGGCTGGGCTGTGATTCCAGGGCGAGACAAGCCCAACCCGGGGTGGGGTCTCTGAGTCTGTCCTTAGCCTCTTTTGCATATGGGAGAATTTCCTCCGTGGGTTCTACAGGGGGGTGCAGCCAGGGACTTTTAGTCCCCCTCCCTTTGAAACATCCTCTCCTTCTCCACCCTAGTTTGGGGCAATGATTAAGGTGGGCATAGATGAAACTTTTCCTCCTAGGAAGAGAGAAGACCCTTGAGCTCATTCCAGGGTCCCTCAGATCCCCGGGATCTTGGCAGCGTGACACAAAGTCCCATCGGCAACCCGAGTCAGGGCTATGTGGCCAGGCTGGCTGGGCAGCAGGTCCAGAGAGGCCTCACGACATGGAGATTCCAGGGGGCTGCACATCGTGAGCACAAAGGTGCAGAGCCCTTTGAGGAGCGCTTTTAGTGGGACCAGAGGCATGAGGCAGGTGTCATGGACGGGGAAGGAATACACGGAGACAGGAAGGGAATTGACATTTATTAAAAACATGCTTTGTGTCAGGAATGTCACTTGAGTTATATAATTTAAGGTTCAGAACCAGCCTTTGAAGTTTGTATTACTATTCTCATTTACAGTCAGGAAAACAGAGGGTCAGGCAGGTTAAGCGACTTGCCCGAGGCTACAGTTAGGAACTATGGAAAGAGTGATTTGTGTGAATCTGATTTCATGCTGTGTCCAGGACAATCCACCGACTCCAGAGAAAGAGAGCAAGACGGTGCTGCTCTTGGGCTCAGAAGGACTCAAGAGTAGAGAAGTTCAGGGATGCCTGGCTGGCTCAGTCGGTAGAGCGTGTGAGTCTTGATCCTGGGGTGGTGAGTTTGAACCCCACGTTGGGCCTGGAGCCTACTTTAAAAAAAAAGAAAGAAAAGAAAAAGAAAGACAAAGTAGAAGTTCAGCTCTCTTTTCCCTCAACACCTACCCTACCTGTGCCCTGAATGCTGCCCAGGCAGATGCTGCCCAGGCAAGGGTTAACCCCTCCTCCTTGGCTCCACACTGCATTCTTTTGTGCTGAGCTCTGGCTGGCAGCTTATGTCAGGACATCAGGGCAAGAAAGCAGAAAGGACATGGCCAGGGCACCTGGCAATGAATAATCTGCTTGTCCTGGCCGGGCTGCCCCGAGGCTGTGTGGTGTGGGGTGGAGAGCGGGGATGGCCCCCAGCGCCAGCACCTGAGGGCAAGGGGCTGTGGTGGTGGTGGGGGGGGGAGGTCAGGGAGGCAATGGGGGACTGAAAAGGGCAGGACCCTGGAACTACGCTGTGTCTAGAGCTTGCTTCATCTCCCAGGCAGTCACCACTTAAACAGAAACTTAAGCGGCTTTCCCCACGTCCCCCTGGCTGCAGCCAAACCCTGAATAGCCACAGCCTGGGCTTGGCTCTCCCCTCAGATTTATCCCAACCAGGTCCCAGCTCCAGAGAGCCCTCCAACCTGCTCCGGGGGACGAGAATCCAGTGGAGGTGTCTTAGGGAACAACCCAGTGAGTCAGGGACTTAGGTGTTCTCGTGCCTGGGATCACCCAGGGAGGACCAGACAGGAGAGGACAGAGAATGGTCTTCTGCGAGTTTCCCAAATGCCTTCAGCCTCACCCCACTGCTGCCTGGCTCTTCACCTGCCTGGTCTTGTGATTCCGGGGCCAAGCTCTCTCCTCTAGTGGGTGACACTCCGCTTCACCCAACAGGCTGGATCTGCCTGGAATCAAACCTCCCTCCCCACCTTCCTGCCAGGAAATTTTGCCCCACCTCCTTTCTGCCAAACCAGCTCCCTCACTTTCATCCAGACTCTGCTCCAGAAGAAATCCCCTGTGAGACTTCTCTCTAGGAAGCCTTCTTTGACTCATCAAAGGCCTGCTGATTGCCCTCAAGCACTCTTGTCCTGCTGGCCATCTTCACACACCTCCGCCTGTTGCTGGGGCCAGTCCTACCCCTTATGGAACTGATTTTAGGTCTGTTGACAATCTCACACTAGATGGTGTGTGCGTGTGTGCGTGTGCGCGAGCACGTTCTGTGTCCTCCAGGAGATCCAGAACTAACGGGCGGGTCTTCCTGGAATCACATATCTAATAAAAGAGCAACTTCCACATTCTTATAGCATCTAAAATGGGAATGGGCTGCCTTGAATGGTAGTGACCTCTCTGTCAGGAGAAGGTTTCAAAGAATGGCTTGTTGTTTATTAGTGACAAATGCTTTTGAGCATTAATTATGTGTCTGGAACAGAGTAGGCATTCAATAAACATTTGTGGGTTTTTTTAAAGATTTTATTTATTTATTTTACAGAGAGAGACACAGCGAGAGAGGGAACACAAGCAGGGGGAGTGGGAGAGGGAGAAGCAGGCTCCCCGTGGAGCACGGAGCCCGATGCGGAGCTCAATCCCAGGAAGCTGGGATCATGACCTGAGCCGAAGGCAGACCTTTAACAACTGAGCCACCCAGGCGCCCCTCCATAAACTTTTGTTAAACAACTCCAACATGACTCACTCCCTTCCTACAATACGTAAAAATTTGGGATTTTGTGCTGATGGGGCCAACCAGTTGGGTCCTGAAAGTTAGGCTGATCTTTAAAGCATCCTGATGGGGGAACCCTAACCCAGAGGGCAGTCTAGGTAAGCAAGAGAGGACCTCTGATCACCCCTGGAAGAGAGTAGTGCCTGTACTGAGCCCTGGTGCTGGCTGTCTTCTGGGAACCACAGTGGAGGTGCTTTGGGATCTGGAAAGTAGAATGACACCTTGTTGGCCACATTGTCAGATTCCTTGGAACTAGCTTTGTTTATATCAACATGGTAACGGAAGCTTTCCCCCGAGTCCGAACGTTCCCGCCTTGCTTCAGCTGTGCTGCAGAGGGCTGAGGAAAGGTGAGATGTGTCTAGAACCTGGCATTCTGGGGGGGGGCAGCGGCCATGGCTCGGCAAGGTTATAGTGAGAGATGCCCCAAGGAAAGGAGCGTCTGGGGATGTTGGACATCTTCCCACTGACCACCTTGGCAGTTGTAGGTCTTCCTTTTGTTGAAAAAGCCAGAGGTTTCCTCACCGCCCCGTCCCCAGTGAGGGGATTTGGGTATCACAGAGCAAGTGGGATTTGGGGAGTCGTTTTATGACTCTGCTTACCATTTATTTGTTCTCTCTCTCTTTTTTTTTTCCTTAAACACATATATCAAGCATCCACTGAATGCCAAGGGCTGAGGAAGCCAACGGAAAGATACCAGAGCTCAGTGAGTCGGTGTTCTGGGAGCTCCCAGGGCTGCTGTTCCCTCTGCCCCAGGCGCAGCCCAGGGGCTCTGCAGAGACCCCCCCCCCCCCCCCCCCGCCACCACGGGAATTCCTTACACGCTGCTTCTCAAGTGCAGTACACATTGCCGTCCTCCGCAGGATCTGCTGAAACATGGATCGCTGGGCCCACCTCCAGAGTTTCTGATGGAGCAGGTCAGGGAGGGACCTGAGAATATGCATTTCAAATAAGTTTCCAGGTGTTGGTGAACCACTGACACACATTATTGTAGACGTCTTACCTTTTTCGAATGCCTTCACGATGCCCACATTTCATGGCAATAGCATCCTCTTGAGACCTCAGGCCCGAGATGATGCTCCTTACCTTTTACCAAGGAGAAAACGGGAGGACAGAGAGGTTCCAAGACACCACGGCACCGTCCTCTTTTCCTCCATATCCTCACAGTTCATCGGCATGCTGTTTGGGGGTTAGTCTCTTCAGGGGCTGCCTCCTTTATTCGAATGTGAATCTCAGGAGGGCGGAGGTCATGGCTGTACTGTCCACCGTTTCCTGGGTATCTAAGACGATGTCTGGCACATAGTAGATGCTCAATAAGTATTTGTGAAATAAATGAATGTGTGATTACTGAGATTACAGGGCTGGCTAGTAGCAGAGTTGGGACCAGGTCTCAGATGCCTTGACTTTTAGAAGCATACTTTCCCATTTGGGGCCCTTTGCCTGTCCTCCAGAGCAGGACCCCAAAGTGCCCCTTGGGCCCGGGAGCCCAGAGTATGGAGAGCTGTCCCAGGGGGATCCAGTGGGGTCAGAGGTGTCTATTCCTCCCCTCGCCCCACCCTCGTCTGGTGCCGCCTGCAGTCCCTATTCAGGCCGAGAACCTGGCAGTGGGAGACCTGGCTCGGCATTTGTCTCCTGCGTCTCTGCACTTCAGTGTCCAAACCTGTGACGTGAAGGTAACAGCACCCTGCCTCAGAAGGTTGTTGCGGGAATTAAATGAGCTACCTGGCCACGAGCGCTTTGCTTACTGGGTGCCAGACGTTGTGCTGGTGATTTACATAACTGAACTCATTTCACCTCCACAGCAAGCCTGCTGTTATCCCCAAGTTACAGAGGAAGAAGCTGAGGCACGGAGAGGTTAAGTGCTTGGCCGAAGTCACACACACACGCACACACAGCTTACTCAGTGGCAGAGCCAGTGAGGACTTACATCCAGACAGGCTAGTTCCAGGGTGCGTGCTTAGCCAGAGCGCGCGTGCACGTGGAACCCGCTCGACGAAACGCTCGCTCCTGATTCCAGACTGGCACTGGCACTGCCACTGCGGCCCAGAGGCCCTCCCCTCGTTCAGTGCCGGGGACAGTCCCAGTCTCTCTCCCACCCTGTCCCACCTCACTGCCTTTTCTGCCAGCACTGGGGAAATCCCCAGGGAGAAGAATGGGGAATTCCTGGGATCAGGGAGAGACATTCCTAAGGGCTCCGGAAGCCTCTGCCTTCGGCTTGGTGTGCTTAATGAATGAGGGAGGCGCGCGCAGCTGGCCCGGCAGAGGACTCCCCCCAGGCAGAAGCAGGGATAGGAGATGAGCACATCTGGGGGACTCGTGCTGGGTGCCCTCAGGAGGGGTGGGGTGAAACGGTGGAGAGGGGATAGGTGACACCTCCCTCCCCCCTGCTATCAGCCCCTGGGAACCCACCCTGTCCTGTCTCCAGACTGCCCCCTCAGACAGCTGCGGAGAATCAGAGGACAGGGCTTGGGCAGGGTGGGGTGGGTAGGATGGGAGGGAGACAAAGCCTTCCTTAACTTCCATCACTGAACATCTGGTTCCACCTAGTGGCCTCCGACGTTCCAACTGCCGGAGCCGAACCCGGGAAGCTCAGGACCAGCAGAGGGGGTGCTCTTTCAGCCAGTGGGTGTTTCCTGAGTCCCTACTCCGTGCCAAGCACACGCTGCAGTGCAGTGGGGCATATCCATAAGTATAAAGAAGAAGATGGCTAACATTTTCCCAGCTCACCCCATGCCAGCCCTGGGCTAAGGGCTACACCGTGTTGGCACATACCTGACACGGAGCACTGGGGATCAGAGCCTGGCCTTGACTTCTTTGGACTTCAGTTTCCACTTCTGAAAAGTAAGAAGGGTGGTGTAGATCATCCTTAGGGTCTCCTCCTGGATAAAAATCTGTAAGGCTACACAAAGGAGTGGTTAAGACTTTTAGCTTTAGAGTTGGACAAACCTGCATTTGGATCCCAGCTGGTGTTCATGAGCTGTGTGTCCCAGGGCAAGTTACTTTACTTCTCCGAGCCCGGGGTACTAATGTCAAGATTAAGTATGGTAATTATACCAAGTGTTTAGCTCAGGGCCTGGCACTTGGTGAGTGCTCAGTAAATAGTGGTGACGATGTGGATGGTGACCCTAGTTACCAAAATAGCCACACCACAAGGCAGAAGGTAGTTTCAACAACAGCCTAAGTGCCATGGGCGTTTGGAAGCAGCTGACTCACTCGGGGGCAGGGCCAGGGGTCAGTTCTCCAGTGGGATTGAGAAAGCACAATTCCGAGGGTGGACCACAGGATGCTGGGGATGAGGGCTGGGTGCCCGGTGCATCTCCCACAGCTCCTCCTCCACCCTTCCCAAGCATGTGAGCCTGAGTCCTGGCCACTCCGCTCTGCTGGGGGGGCGGGGGGCCGGCCAGGGGGGTGCTGGCAACAAAGGGGACAGCTGAGTCCTTGGCTGACCTAACTTCTGGGTGAACCTCTGCCTCTTTGTTGTGACACTCTGAACCCCAGACATGGTCAGTCCTTCAGCCACCTGTGCCCCGTGTCCCCGTGAAAAGGATGAACAGTAAGAAGCCGGAAAGACAAATGTTTAAAAGGCCATAGATGCTTCCCTGACCTTGTCTGAGGGTATGTCAGTGTTTTTCTCTTCTTCTCTTGCTCCTCTTCCTTTTTTTCTTGGGATTCCTATTTTTATGCAGCAGGTTTGGGGCCCCTCTGGGTGTGGAGGATTTCCTGGTCAGGAAGTCTTCCAGGAAAGTCACTTCCAAGTTGCTCTGCTCCTGGGAGGCCCTGGTTGATGTTTGCTGAGTGCGTGAGTGACTTGCAGCTCGGGCCCCAGAGGTCCGGCTGCTCTTCTCTTGCTCTGGGCCATGAGGCGCGGGACACAGCGGCCGGCCCTCTCCTTGTTTTTAGTCCATTTTCTTCCACTTCCTGGGGCTGCCTGTGGGTGAGGGGCTCCTCGGGCCTCACCCCGAACCCTCCCCTCTGTGTGCTTGCACCCTCTCTGGCCCCCTGACCCACCCGCGCCTCCACCCTCCTCTCTCTCCTTTCTCGGGAGCTGCAGATCATTTCTTCCCAGATCTTGACCCGAATGACTGTGGCCCATTCAGTTCCACGAGTGCAAAGCTGAGGCTTTCTCCCACCCTCACTCCACATTCTTCCCCGCACAGAGGAGTGTCTCACTGTCCACTCCATGCCCAGGGATCAGCCAGAGCCCTCCAAGGCTGGCGGTTTTCCTGCACTCTGCTCTTTGCCACTCTCCAGACTGCTGCCTCCCAAAGGGTGCCCCTGCCTCTTGTCCTCCTGCATCCTCCTGCTCCCGGCTGCCTGCTGAGACCCCAGCTGGCCATCAGGGAACCCTCGAAATAACCTGCTCAAGTCACTGTTCCTCTGCTCAGCAGCTTGTAACACTCTCCACTGCCTTTGGGATAAATGGAAACCCCTCGGCCTGGCAGACACAGTCCTTCCTGGTCCCTCCTCTGCTGACCTCTCCAGGCTCCCTGCCCCAAGCTCCCAGGCTCTCTCCCGCAGTCCCCTGCATCCCAGCCTCCTTGACATTCCTGCTGGCTCTCCGGGGCATTGCTCCAGTCACATCTCTGAGCCATAGCCCTGCTGTATCTTCTGCCCAGAGCGCTGACTTCCCTATCATCTGTCTGGCAGACACAGTCATGTCTCAGGAACCATTCAAATGCCCGCTCATCTGGGAGGCCTTCCAGATCCCTCCAGGCCCCTGTGGGTTCCCTCAGCGACTTGTCCTTTGCCATTCACAAGATCTATCACACTGAATTATAATTACTTATTGACATGTTCCTTTTCCCCTCCGGAAGGAATGTTGCTTGGTGGCAGAGGTCTTTCACCCTTTTGTTTTCTGACTGTCTGGAGCATAGCAGGTGCTCAGTAAATATTGGTTATTGCAAATGTCCATCCATCACGTGTTTGGATCAGAATGTGGTTTTCAAGTTTTGATTTTGCTGCTTTCTGCGGGGAGTTCATGTGCTGACGAGGCAGGCAGATGGACTGGTGCCTGTTGAGTTACAAGCTCTGGAGTCGGATCCGGGTCCTGGGCTTGGCTTTACCATGTATTAGCTGTGTGCTAAGTGACTGACCTCTGCAAGCCTGAAAAATGGTAATGGTAGCCTTTGCCCAGTCGAGCGGTTGTGAGGGTTAGTGGGGAAGTCAGCCAGGTGCTAGTGAATGTTTGAGAAAGGACAGCGAGTGTTATCGTCCGGCTCGGCCTCTGCACACCGTGGGACCCTAGGCCAGCCACATTCCCTCTCTGGTGTCCGTGGTGGGAGCAGCTGATCTCCGAGGGCCCTGCAGGTCTGACCTGCTGCCGCCCTGTGGGGCCGAGGAGGATGTCCTGCAGGGCGAGATGTGTGAGGGCAGCAAAGAGTGCTCTATGTCCAGCAGAGGGCCCTGCCCAGCCCCTGGCCAGCCGGTGGGAGGGAGCAGCTCGAGTCTACTGGAGCAGGCTGGTGATGCCAGATGCCTGACTGGAGGCGGACCAAGCGGCCCGCTGCCTCTCTCCGGTCAGCCCAGCGCTTGGGTCCCTCGCCCTCACCTGCTCTTTGGGGAGGCGTCCGGCCATGCGGCGGCTGTGGCCACTGGCCGTCTCTCTTGCCGTGCTATTGGCTGCGGGGCTGAGCAGAGTCTCTGGGGGTGCCGCCCTGCCCGCGGGCCGGCACAGGGCCGAGGCCCAGGAGCAGCAGAGCCGGTCCAAGAGAGGCACCGAGGACGAGGAGGCCAAGGGGGTGCAGCAGTATGTGCCCGAGGAGTGGGCCGAGTACCCCCGGCCCATCCACCCTGCTGGCCTGCAGCCCTCCAAGCCCTTGGTGGCCACCAGCCCCAACCCAGACAAGGATGGGGGCACGGCAGGCCGCGGCCAGGAGCCTCGGGGCAACCTGACAGGAACGCCGGGCCAGAGGCTGCAGATTCAGAACCCCCTGTACCCGGTGACTGACAGCTCCTACAGAGCTTATTGCATCATGGTCCTGGCCCTGGTGGTGTTTGCCGTGGGCATCGTGGGAAACCTGTCGGTCATGTGCATCGTGTGGCACAGCTACTACCTGAAGAGTGCCTGGAACTCCATCCTGGCCAGCTTGGCCCTCTGGGATTTTCTGGTCCTCTTTTTCTGCCTCCCGGTGGTCATCTTCAATGAGCTCACCAAGCAGAGGTTGCTGGGCGACGCCTCTTGCCGGGCCGTGCCCTTCATGGAGGTGAGTGTGCATCCTGTTGGAGCTCGGCTCTGGGCTGTCCGAAGCGGGCTCTGTGGGTGCGCAGGACCTCAGAGGCCTGGAGCTCTGTCTCGCTTCTCATCCCGTTTGGGCAAGGAGACAGGTGCTGCATTGATTCCTGGTGGCTCTCAGGTAAACGCAGCCAGCTAAGGGGAGCAGGGAGGTGGGCAGGAGCTCTGGGGGCCAGCCCCAGCCCGGTCTCTTGCTTCGGGAGCAGCCTCAAGGCGAATCTCTCCCCCTTTCTCTTTGCTCTGAACTGTCCCCTCCCCCCTTAACCCCTCTCCATTTGTCCACGCAGGAAATCGCTCTGTCCACAGTATGTCTCCTTTTCTCCCTCTTTGCCACTGCCCTGCCCTTCTTTACTTCTGAATATCCTGCTTCTCCAAGCAGCGTGTGAAGGGAGATCCCAGTTTCCTGCAGCGCCCCCCAAAATCAAGTCAGTGTCCACTCCCCATGAATGCAAACACCAGAAAGAAAGTCCCTTCCTTACTGTGATGGTTGTTGCTCTCTGAAAGGGTGCCGGAGCCCGGGGGTGAGGGGCTCAGGATCAGCTCTGTCTCTGACACACTGGGCGTCACTGGGCAGGTGACGCCTCCTGTCCAGTTTGCTTAGCTCTCAACCATGGGGTAGACCAGATGGCCCCTCTGGCAGGTTTCTTCTACAATTCCAAAGTAAACCATCATCCTCACCTCTGGGGACTTCCACCTTAAGACAGGTGCATGGGTGATGATGGAGGTGTAGATCATATACAGACACCTTAATCAAAACATTACAAAAATATACCAATCTTTGTGCATTTAGGCAAGATCCAGCAAGGCCAGCCACCGTGTCTGTACAGGAGCACAAAATAAGCAAGCAGCCTTTTAAATTTTGGCTACATTGCGGGGAGTGGGTACTCATGAGGACGGGAGTGACTGGCCTCCCCGTGAAGGCTGCTGCTCTTCCAGATGCGTGGAGGATGCTGTGGGCCATGGGTGATGTGCCCGGGGTGGAGAAGGAATCAGGATCAGGCCTGTGGGCCCTATTCCCAACTCTGTCCCCAGTTCCCCGTATATTAGTGATGATTTCACATTTGGACAGCCTGAGGCTCAGCAGTTGGTGCAGCCCCTCGCGTCCTTCCCAACCCAGAGAGACCACTTAACCGGGGCCAAAGGTACTCAAACCTCAAAGAAGATCCTGCAACTGGGGCTAGCCTTGGCATCTTAGTTACCTGTAGGGTGCAGAGCCCCGGCGCCCCGTGAGACGCCGGACACAAGGACTAGGTGAGGAACCGGGCTTTACCCCTCACTAGCTGAGTGACCTAGGTAAGTGACCTAACCTGTCTATACCTCAGTTTTGCCCTCTGTAAGTTAGGGATAATAATAATAAAAACCATCTGAATGAATTCTTGAAAGATTAAATGGGTAATATCTACAAAGTCCTTAGCATTAAAATAATTCAGTAAGGGCGCGCCTGGGTGGCTCGGTCGTTAAACGACTGCCTTCAGCTCATTATCCCAGGGTCCTGGGATCGAGCCCCACATCGGGCTCCCTGCTCGGCGGGAAGCCTGCTTCTCCCTCTCCCACTCCCCCACTTGTGTTCCCTCTCTCACGGTCTCTCTCTCTGTCAAATAAATAAAGTCTTTAAAAAATAAAATAAAATAATTCAGTAAGTATTGGGTTTTGCCAGGAAAGGGAGAGGAGGAAGACAGACATACGGGAACTCTTGTCTGCATGGAAGCCTGGCCGTGCCTGACTATGGGTCTCAACATACCTAATACCCAGGCTGCGGCCTCCACCCTCCTAGGTTACTGGCTCCACACCTCCTAGAGGATGGAGATGGTCACGAGCTTGTAGAGCCCCCCCTTCAGGCTAGGTGATGGAGTACGAGTTAAAATACCCTGCTCTGGGGGTGCCTGGGTGGCTCAGTCGGTTAAGTGGCTGCCTTCAGCTCAGGTCATGATCCCAGAGTCCTGGAATCGAGCCCCGCGTCGGGCTCCCTGCTCAGTGGAGAGCCTGCTTCTCCCTCTCCCTCTGCCTGCCGCTCTGCCTACTTGTGCTATCTCTCTGTCAAATAAATAAATTAAAAAAAAAAAAATCTTAAAAAAAAAAAAATACCCTGCTCTGGAACACTTTTATAGGGAGGATCCCAGGACGGACCCCAGGAGGGAGCAGGAGAAGACAATTTGGAATTTGATTTTTTTGGTTTTGTCCAAGCCCCAAAGGCTGCTCATCCGCAGGGCTCCCCTGCCAAGGGAGGGCGCGGGTTCTCACAAAGATCACTTGCGGGCAATGCTAATGAGCCAGGGATTGTGTTCCCCCAGCCAGAAGAAGGAAGAATTTGGACAGAAGGGGGGATCTGAGCACAATCCCTGAGTGTGGTCGAGCATCATCCGACAGCTTGGGAGGATTCTTTTCTTCCTCTTTTCTCTCTGGCACTTTCTTCCCCTGCTGCTCTGGCTTCTTTCTCTTGGCTCCCGGGCGAGTTTCCTCAGTGCTCAATGAATAGCATCCGGGAGGGTGGGCCCAGGCTGTTTTGGAGGGGGGCTGCTTCCCCACACAGCCAGGCCCTGGGCTTTTCTGGATAGGATGGGGAGAGTGAGTGTGTATGTGAGTGTGTGTATGTGTGTGTATCTCAGCCACATTTCAAAAACCTTTCACCTGATGCACATAATGGGATGTGGGAGTGGAAGGACCTGCAAAGACCCAGAACTTCTATGTCTTTGTCTTAATGCCTCATTCGAGATGATTTTTCAAAGTCTCAGAGAGCATAAGGGTCTGTGGGACCCAGGCCATTCATTCCCTCGCCCAGGAAGCAAAGAAGCAAGGTGGAAAGAGTGGGACCAGTCTGCACGTGGACCTCAACTCTGCCATTGACCGAGTCACTCGTCCTGCCTGAGCTAGTTTCGTCCCGTGTGGATTGTCAGCTGCAAGGATTTGGTGACAGGGTGTGAAGTGCCTGATGCCTGACGTGTGAGAAACGCTCACTAAATGTCATTCCTATCATTTCTGCACTTGCCACTCAGCTCCCCGTCTAGGCTGGAGACCAGGCACCCTGCCCCCTCCCCCCAGCCCCCACCCCCCGCCCCCAGGCCCTCTGGCTTTGACCACATGCTCCTCTCCTCCACACCTTTGCCCACAGGTCTCCTCACTGGGAGTCACCACCTTCAGCCTCTGCGCCCTGGGCATCGACCGCTTCCACGTGGCCACCAGCACCCTGCCCAAGGTGAGGCCCATCGAGCGGTGCCAATCCATCCTGGCCAAGCTGGCCATCATCTGGGTGGGCTCCGTGATCCTGGCCGTGCCTGAGCTCCTACTGTGGCAGCTGTCGCAGGAACCTGCCCCCACCACGGGCACCCTGGACTCATGCATCATGAAACCGTCAGCCAGCCTGCCCGAGTCGCTCTACTCGCTGGTGATGACCTACCAGAACGCCCGCATGTGGTGGTACTTCGGCTGCTACTTCTGCCTGCCCATCCTCTTCACCGTCACCTGCCAGCTGGTGACGTGGCGGGTGCGGGGCCCTCTGGGGAGGAAGCCCGAGTGCCGGGCCGACAAGCATGAGCAGTGTGAGAGCCAGCTCAACAGCACCGTGGTGGGCCTGACGGTGGTCTACGCCCTCTGCGCCCTCCCCGAGAACGTCTGCAACGTCGTGGTGGCCTACCTCTCCACGGAGCTGACTCGCCAGACCCTAGACCTCCTGGGCCTCATCAACCAGTTCTCGGCCTTCTCCAAGGGGGCCATCACACCCGTGCTCCTCCTGTGCACCTGCAGGCCGCTGGGCCAGGCCTTCCTGGGCTGTTGCTGTTGCTGCTGGGGGGGCGGTGGCGGCGCCTCGGCCGCCCGCGCCTCGGACGCCAAGCTCAAGGCCGCCGCGCCCTCCTCCATCTACTTCCACAAGCCCAGGGAGTCGCCCCCGCTCCTGCCCCTGGGCACGCCTTGCTGAGGCCAGGCTCCAGCCTGGGAGAGGCACGGGGGCAGGGGCACGGAGGGGCGGGGAGGGCGCCCCCCCCAAGCCTGGGTCTGGTGTTTCTGCCCCCATAGGTCTCGCTTCTCTGCCGTCTTGCTCTCTAGTGATGGACTTGGTTCCTCCTGCCGGGGTTTGGGTTCAGGCACAGCAAAGCCCCCTCCCTCAGCAGGACCTTCCCTGTCACTCTGTGGGGCCTCCTAGCCCTGGGCTCTCAACTGGTGGGTGGTGATGCTTCCGGGTCCTTAGAACTGCCTAGAAACTCTCAGTCCCCGCCCCTCTGCCCCCCCCACCCCCCACCTCCAGCCGGGAGCCAGAACTTCACCTGTCTCTGTCTTGGAATCTGCTATACTTTAGTTGGGCCCTCTCTAAGTATCATCTTTCTGACACTCATCCATCCTAGAATAGGGGGTCCTTTGGGGGTCAGCCCTACCTGGCTCTTCTCTGGACCAGATCTTCCCCAGCCTTGGACACCTCCTCCTCCTCCTGGCAACTCCCCTCCTCCCAGAGGATTTCTCTCTCCTTCCTCTTCCTTCTTTGACATATCCTGGGTTGCCCTGTCCCCACCTCCCTTGGTGGGTCCCCCTCTGTAGCAGGCCCTTCTTCAAAAGCAATAAACTAGGTAGAACTATCCCTGTGCCCACTGGAGTTTCTTGTGCTACACCCTGACAGTGCCCTTCTCCAGGACAGGTGGGACCCTAGGGGGATTCCTCCCGGCCCCCTCTGGCCCTTTCTGGCCTGTGGCTGATATCCTGCCCAGCCCAACAGCCCTATGGCTTTTGAGGGGCAGAGTGGAGGGAGGGCTTGGGAAGTAGAGACTAAGTCTGCATCCTGACGTGAGCCTGAGCATCCTTGGGAAGTCAAAAGGCTTCTGGAGCCCCCACCTCTGCTCCTCGCTCTCCACAAAGCCCCCATTTTAGAGAAAACAGCAGCCTTCCCTCTGTGAGCCCTGGGGGTTCCAGCCCCTCTGACTCTGAGAGATCTGCTCTTGTTCAGTTTCTTAGAACAGACTGTTTTGCCTGTAGACGGCCCAGCTGCCTGTTCCCCGTCTGCCCCCATCCTGCCCCCACCACACCCCCTTCCTGGCAGCCAGAGCTCCATCCTGTGCCGGCAGGGACCCTTCAGCTCCTCCTGCTGGTCCTGCCCCAGGTGTCCCACTTCCACCGGGTCCCCCTCTGGGGCCCTTGCAAAGGCCCCCTTAACCTCGTTTGGGCCCAGAGAAGCTGGCCCGAGGTCAACCAGAAGGGACACCTTGGCCTAGGCCACAAATCACTCCCGCCTCCTAAGCCCAGCTTCCTTCAGAACCACCCTTCCCCATCCAAAGTGCAGCTCCGGGTCCCACCAGCAACTTCTGGCTGCCAGGTCTACCTAGAACCTCTACAGGGGGCCTTGGAAGGGCCCCAGGGACCCGGGATAAAGAGGGACAGTGGTTGCTGAGTGCACTGGGCCCCATTCTCCTCTGTCTACCCCACCCACACCCATTGGCCTCAGCCCGGCCGGGACCCAAGCCTCCTTCCCCCCCCCCGCCTTGGGGATCTTAATGGCCTTGTTCTCTCTTCCTGGCACCCACCCCCAGGATGGGTGACGCCAAGAGAGAGGGAGGCCGTTGCTAAGTGATGAGGCCGCCATGTGCTGAGGAATGACACCCACCCATCTCTCAGCAGACCTGTTGCCACAGCGACTGGAGCCTTCGGCTTTGTCTGTAGAAACTTAAGATGGGTGGGTGGGGGGCAGGTTGGAGAGGGGGCCAAAGGCAGGCTTGCGGCACTGAGGTCGCCAGGGCCATTTCTCCCATACCCCCCAACTTCCTCTCTACCCCCACTCCCACCCCCAGTCCTAGACTCACCAGGAGCTTCCCATGGGATGTAGGGAGGGGGCCCGGGGTGAACTGAGGTAAAGTCTGGCACCAGGAGAGGGCTGAGGATGAAGACTGAGGAAAGGGGAGGGGGGGAGCCTCAGCATCCTGTTTGGGAGGCCTTTTCCAGAGGGCACCCCCCCACACACACACATCCCTGTCTCTCCCTCCTGCTGGTTGGCCAGCTCAGAGCTGAAGGGAGGTGGGGGGATGGTGTCTCCGGGGCCCAGCCACCACCTCGGCCTCCCACGCCTGCCAACGTGAGTGGCTTGCAAGATTAGTCAGCAGGCCATCAGGGCCTTGGGAAAGAGCCACTGTCCCTCCAGCCTGGGCCAGCTGGCGGAACAATGTGGCATTTGTTGCTTAGGGGTCCCAGGCTTGGGATGGGGGAGCAGGTTGGCACAGTGGTGGGCGGTGGATTTGAGCTGGGATGCTCAGAGGCAGCGCAGACATTCTCCCTCTCCATCAGGGCGAACTTTAGACCAGCCCTCAGACCCCTGATCCGGGGTGGGGTGGGGGGGGGGGAGGGCAACCCACTGAGCCTCCCCCCTCCGCTGGGAGAGCACCAGCGCTTCGCGGTGAGAATCGCCTCCCTCCAATCAGACTGGATGGTTACTGAGCCTCTCAGTTTCCTCATCCATAAAATGGGAATAACCCCTCTCTCAGAGGACTACAGTTGTGAAATGGGACAAGATACATAAAGCATCTGGCATGACGCCTGGCACCTTTTCTTCCTTTCCTCCTTTTGGGAAATGAATTCTCTAGTACTACAGAGTAGGCTTGGCCAGGGTACTCTCAAAACTCATCCAGGCTTTGGCACTTCAAAGGGCCCCAAGCATGAGGATTTACAGATAGACGCCCAAGTCTGTTCCCTGCCCAAGTTTCACAAGTTCTTCAGGCCCTATTAGGCACCTGCTGTGTGCAGACAGGGCGGTAGGAGGATGCCTACTTGCTCATCACCAGCTCATCCTGACTAATCTCAGATGTTGCCCCTCATCGGGGGATTCAGGACGGGGAAAGGCAGGTCAACCCTGACACCTGCCCCCGTCCTGCTCCCCGTATGAGTGACAGGCCTCTTCCGGCCTCCCAGGCCAGGGGCAGCCTCTGCAGCAGGGGGAGCACAGGGGCAGGCTGGCCCCAGCTTCGACCTCCTTAACCAGGGGGCACATTTCCTATTCCTTAGAGCTGGAAGACACCCTAAAATCATTTTGCTCCCTTTGCCAAATTCCATCCACGTTCTTTCCTCAGACTCCCCTGAGGCAAGTGATTTCTGACGAGAAAAGTGCCTCCAGGAGGAAGCCCTGGGCCCCAAGAAAGGGCTGGTGTTCAGAGCCAACAGGCTCAGAACTCTGAGCCCTGGGCTCCCTGCTCCCAGATCTTAGCAAACCCTGTGGCTCCTTCTTCCTACAGAGGCAGGACGAGAGGGCATGGAGCAGCTGTAGGGGCCTGCTCCCTTTTCCGGCGGGGAGGGAGGCTGGGGGGGGGGGCAAGCAGGGGGGAGGCGGGGCTTGCTGCAAAACTGGGTCAAGATGGCCCCGGATTTGGGTAAGCAGGGCCCACAAGGCTCTACGGCAGCAGCTGTGGGTGAGGAGGAGGGGGGACCAGCTCTGAGGTTGGGGTCAAGCGGGGGAGAGGACTGAGATTGGGCAGAGGGATAATGGGGCACCCTCTCCCAGAAAACCAGGAGCACTGACACTAGAAGGGGAGCAGGGAAGGAGGGATGCCATCGGGCCCTAAAGGCCCTAGAGGACAAGTAACTGGCTCATCATGGGTGGGGACAGAGTTCCGGCTTCGGCCCAGCTCTGGCTGCCAGGTGGGGTTCTGAATGGACTCTTGGGAACCAGAGGCTCAGGCCTGCACACATCGGGATGCAGGCCCACACTCCCGCCATGCGGACCCCCAGCCCACAGACTTGCTGGGCTCCCCTTGGCAGCTGCAAGCTCAGAGCCGGGACCGCATGCAAGTCTGACGAGGGAGGGAGGAGGAGGCCGGGCAAGGCCCAGGCACACATGCGGGAGGCTGCTTTGTGAGGTGCCATTGTGTGCCCAGCATGAGCGCGTGCCTTGCTCTCTGTGGCTGTTTGTGCCCAGTGTGCGGGCCCGCCAGTCCTCCCGCGGTGTCTACAGACAAATAACCAGCCCCGGACGCCCCCCCAACACAAAACTGGTCATTTATTCTTGTTGTTAGGAGGCAAAAAAATGTACAGTTACAAGAATCATTTTCCAAACAGAGGTTAAATATGAGCTAAAAGTGTAAAAAAGGAAGAGGAACGTCACTTTACAAATCATTAAATTAAACAAATAAACAAACAGAAAACAAAACCCAAAGAACCAACCCCCCATGCTGAGTTCTCTCCTTGTGCAACTCTGCAAAATGAGAACAGAAAATGAGGTGGCCCATGGAGTTGGGGGCCCTAGGAAGGGGCAGGAGGGGCTGCCGGGGCCGCGTGGAGGCTGGCCTCCTGCCCCTTTGGCCCGGTTGTCTCTGGCACTCGGGTGTGCCCGGTGGCCCTGCTGAGACTGGGGGCAGAGAGGGGCACCTCTGGACGCTCCTGTCAGCCTGTGACATTCAAGCACTGCAGGGACAAGCCAGACTGAGAAGTGGAAACAAACGGGACATGGGGACGGCCACCAGTGCCCAGGCTGGTACCTGCCCTAGGGGCGCTCACTTTCCTAATCTCAACCTGCCCAGAGCCAGCCCTGCCTCTCTTGCCTTCCTTCCACACCGCCCCCCTCCCAGATCCTGATGGGCCCCTGCAGCATCAAATGGGTGATTTTAGTCTTTGCTTAAATTAAAAAATTAAAATATATATACATATATATACTGTACACACAGGACAATAACAGAAGAGTGTTGAAAAGGGCAGCGTAGGGGTGGGACACGGGAGAGTGGAGGGCAGGGGCTGTGGGGCCTGGGCTGTTAAGGGGACGGAAGCGGGGGGGGGGGGGGGAACAGAGGGAAGGGGGAGGGCCAGAGGTTAGGGGACCAGAATGGGAGCAGTTTATTTTACAATAAAATCAGGAGTTCAAACCTCAGCAGAACAGGACTCTGGGATCCCCAGAGGGCCCCTCCCCACGCTGAGTGAGGAGGGGCAGGCTTAGGGGGGACGGCGGGGTGGGCGGGGAGCTCGGCTTCGGGTTTGGATGACAGCAGGTCCCTGGTCCGAGGGGGAAGGACCGCGGTCTCAGCTTCTCCGTGACTTTGAGTGTTGAATAAGCCACTGTAGGGTGATGTCTGGGTGGAGGACAACGGAGAAGTTTAGAGGCCTTCCCGTGCTGGGCGGACTGGGGAGGTGGGGAGCAAACACCCAGGGGCGTGGCATAAGCCCAGGGCTTCCGAAACTGCAACTGGGGATCAGCTCTAAGGGCACCAGAAGCCCAGAGCCATCAAGCTCCAAACAGCCCCGGATGCGTGGCGGGGGGTGGGGGGTGGGGGGGGTGGGTGCTGGGAAAGCCGGAGCCGGGGGATGTCACAGCGGGGACTGCCTGATCCAACCCTGTGATGTTACAGTGCGGGACGTGAGGCCCACGCAAGGGAGTGATTGGCCTAAGATCACACAACCAGTCAAGGGCAGAGCTGGGGTAATGCTCAGAATCTGAGCTCCCTGGACACCGGTCCCACCCCAGGAGAAGATTCGAGCTTTGGGCTTCAGGGAAAGTTGTGGAGGGAAAAGCTTTGAGAGCCACTGAATGGGAATCCCCAGGAGTGCCTCTCTGCTCCTCCCCTCGCCCTGTGGCTGTTCCCAGAACGTCAGCAACTCCCCCATACCCACGCGCACCAATGTTGTCCTTTTCTTTGCAGGAGATGGAGTAGCAGCAGATCTCTCGGTCCTGGATGGCAGAAAGATTCCTGGGGGGGAGCCAGAGGAGAACCTGCTGAGGCTAGGACTGCCCAAGGGGCCTGGGGCTGGGGGCAACAGAGCCCTTTTCCTGCTGAAGGAGCTACACCGGGAGGGCGAGGCTCCGGGCGAGGCGGGCTCTGCTGCCACCGTGTGGCGGATACTGAGAGCAGCAGCAAGCCGTCTCTCCGTTGCCTGGGAAATTTGGGGAGCAGGGAGGAAGGACAGAGAAGAATAACCAAACTCACATTTTCTCAATCAGCTCCTTCTCATCCAATGCTCCCGGAAGGTCTCGCTTGTTACCCAGGACTAAGACCTACAGAGAAGGGAGGACAGGGACTAGGTCCAGGGCCGCTGCGCCAGGATAGCCATTTCCCCTCCCCCCACCCCGACCGCCTTCACCTGCCTCCCGCCCTGCCCCCAGTGACTTCCCAGCGGGCTCCCTCCCCTCCCACTCCATTAGGCTGCTGACCGGGATGCCCTGCAGCTGGGGTTTGTCCAGTAGGTTGTGCAACTCATTCTTGGAGGCCTCAATCTTCTCCTGGTCAGCAGCGTCCACCATGTACCTGGGGGACAGCAGGTGGGGACAAGCATGATGACACTACAGGCCGAGAGGTAGGAACAGAAGCTGCGCTCGCAGGAGGAAACATCTTGCTGGGGCTTGGGCATCTCTGGATCTATGGGCTAGGGGCCTCCCCCACGGCCTGTCATCATCCTGTCATCCCAAAGTCCCCTCTGGACAAGCTGTCACGTAGGGGTGAAGCCTGGCCCTTTAAGATTAGGTGTAAATCCCTTCCAAAATGACCCTCTTCAGTCTCCACGGGAAGACTAGCCCTGGTTGAGTGAACAAAGCAAAGGCAGCCCCAGATTTTCTTACAGCAAGATACTTCTAAAAAATGAGGTCAAACACAACAAAAACAAAACAATCTTTTGTTGGGCATATATATGTAGGATAAAATTATTTTTAAAAAGCAAGGGAACAAATCATTTAAATTATACAAATTTCAAGAGAGTGGTGATTCTAGGGTGGGGGAGGCAGGGAGACACAGGTACTTTCGGCTGGTTGATGCTCTGGCTCTCAGGTTGGCCGGGAGGTGCTCAGAGCGTTTTGCAGGCAAGAAACACGCAGCACGTGAAGCGAAGCAAAGGCAGGCTTCGTATGGACCGGAAAGTGTACCCTGAACCAAGGACTGTGACTAATCCAGCTCTGCGCCTCTGGTCCCTGCAGGCGGTGAGGCTGGGGGGGCAGCCGGGGAGGGGTCCCCGCTGGTGGTGAGGTGGGGGGGCAGCCGGGGAGGGGTCCCCGCAGGCGGTGAGGTGGGGGGGAAGCCGGGGAGGGGTCCCCGCAGGCGGTGAGGCTGGGGGGGAAGCCGGGGAGGGGTCCCCGCAGGCGGTGAGGCTGGGGGGGAAGCCGGGGAGGCTGAGCCCCATATCTAACCCGGCTCTGCACTTACACGATGGCACTCACTCCTCGGCAGTAGCGCTCCCACATGCTGCGGAACCGGGGCTGTCCCCCGATGTCCCAGAGCTGAGTGAGAAGAGGGCAACATGGTCTCAGCAGCAGGCAGGCAACCAAACCCATCTTGGCTTCCCGTCCCCCTCCCCCACCCAGGGACTGGTTTGCTCTCCATCCCTCCTGTGCCTACACCCCTCTGACTGCCTCAGAAGTTCTGTGCTCTTTTCCCACCTCTCCAAGCCTCTGCCCTCCTTCAGCTTCTCCTCCCAGGGGTCTCAGATACCCTCCCCAACTCGTTCTGGGGGCCCCGCCCCAGCAGGCACACAGGTGGTCTTCTGTGGCCCCGAGTGAGCGTGTGCCCAGAGTTTTTGGCTTCCTGCCACTCACCTTGATGGTCACATTCCCTTTGGTGATTTTGCGCATGTTGAAACCCACAGTGGGGATCATATCCTCATTGAACTGTCCTGACTGGAAGGAAGAGTCAGAATTGGAAAAGGGGTCCAAGTCGACAGAACCCAGATGTGTGTCCCTGGCAGGCAAGGGCTGCCAAGAATAAAGCAGAGGCCAGGCCAGAGCGTCACAGGCACCCTCTGCAAGGGGCACGGGGCCATCTCCTGAGTCCCTTGCTTTCAGGCAGGACGGCCATCAACAACTCAGGTGTCCACCCACTCCACACGGCTCTCCTGTGAATAAGAGGCCCTGTCTTCTCCTGCCCGCCTCAAAGTCTCTCAGCCTAGACAGAGAAAAAATTCTTCCTAAGGTCTAACCACCATCTCTCTGTCGCAATGGAAGCTCCTTTACTGCACTGAGTCTCCAGTGGAGCAGAAGAGCAATCAGCTGCCAGCAGAAGGACCTCAAACAGGTCAGGGCAAACAGGGGGGAATCTCAAGGGAAGCAGACGTATCTTCAAATGAGCAGTAAATACTTTGATGGAAGGTAAATAGGCCACCCCAAAATGCACTGCACACGAAGCAATTTCTGGATTATCCATGGTTCTGGTTTATTTGCACTATACTCTGTTTGTTAGGGCGAATAATCCATACTCTACATTCCTTGTTGACTCATGTTGTCTCCCACTAGACTGAGAGCTTCCTGGGGAGGGGAACCATGCCCCCATTAACAACATTAGCAAATGTTTGCTGAATAAGAAGTTGACTATAATTCCATATCCCATAACCCATTTTCAAATTCTTTTATTTGTTTATTTATTTTTAAGATTTTATTTATTTGTGAGAGAGAGAATGAGAGACAGAGAGCATGAGAGGGAGGAGGGTCAGAGGGAGAAGCAGACTCCCTGCTGAGCAGGGAGCCCGATATGGGACTCGATCCCGGGACTCCAGGATCATGACCTGAGCCGAAGGCAGTTGCTTAACCAACTGAGCCATCCAGGCGCCCCATTTTCAAATTCCAATGATCTTCATGTCTCCCCCTCTGAATCATCTCCAAGATGTCTAGATTGCTCTAAACTAGCCCCAGGCCTGAAGTAAGGCCAGGCCAAACTCCCTCCAAGGTCATCTTCATGTTCCCATGTAGGACACTTCTGCTTACCACCCTCCTCCCCCAGATGCAGGAGATGGGGCTTATTTAGCCTTGAATCTGAGGGTGACAGCCTTGTCTCTGTACCATGCCATTTTCTTCTGCCAGGTGGCAGGAATAATTTACCTCATGTCACATACAGAAGTCAGGGGCTCTGACCATTAGCCAAGATGTAGGAGATGATGATTTCTTATTCAGAGCCTGTAGGCCTGAGTGAAGACTCCTGAGGTCCCATCTGAATGAGAGGGATTGATTCCCTTTTATCTGCAAGAATCACTCAGACTCATTAACTAAGGCCCTTGGAAGTGAGAAGTGAGTCCCCATGACTGATGCTCGTGACAAGGTGGAGCAAGGGTTCCTAACCTGTGGGCCACAGATGAACTTCAGAGAGTCCCTGAACCCCCTGAAATTGCACCCAATCTGCATGTGCAAAGTTTCTGTTTGTATGGACATTTCTCTGGGGAAAGGGTTTCTAATGTGTGTTTTGTTTTTGTTTTTTTAGAGGGAGAGAGAGCAAGCAGGGGGTGCGGGGCAAACGGAGAGAGAATTTTTTTTTTTTAAGATTTTATTTATTTATTTGAGAGAGAGAACGAGATAGAGAGAGCATGAGAGGGTCAGAGGAAGAAGCAGGCTTCCCGCCTAGCAGGGAGCCCGATGCGGGACTCGATCCCGGGACTCCAGGATCATGACCTGAGCCAAAGGCAGTCGCTTAACCAACTGAGCCATCCAGGCGCCCCGAGAATTTTTTTTTTTAAGATTTTTTATTTATTTATTTGACACAGAGAGAGAGACAGCTAAAGAGGGATCACAAGCAGGGGGAGTGGGAGAGGGAGAAGCAGGCTCCTGGCCGAGCAGGGAGCCCGATGTGGGGCTCGATCCCAGGACCCTGGGATCATGACCTGAGCCGAAGGCAGACGCTTAACAACTGAGCCACCCAGGCGCCCCGGAGAGAGAATCTTAACCCAGCTCCACGCCCAGTGTGGAGCCTGACTCAGGGCTCAATCTCACGACCCTGAGATCATCACTTGAGCGGAAACCAAGAGTTGAACGCTTAACCGACTGAGCCACCCAGGCGCCCTAAGGGTCTCTTATTTTTATCAGATATCAAAAGGGCCCAAGAGCCCTAAAAGTTAGGAATCACTGAGAGAAAGGAGTGCCCTGAAGGAGGATGGCTTCTATTCTCCCTAAGGATGGAGACCCTAACCACATGCAGTCTAAGTCTCAAACCCAGCAGGGTGCCAGGGTGGGGGCATCTGCTGGACCAAAGTCCACTCCTCCTCATCTGGGCTCATGAAGAACATAAAGGTCTGAAGAAGAAAGCCCAGTTTTTGTTAATCACTCATCATGGAGGAGCTTGGACAAGGCACTTCAACCTCTCTGGGCCTCAAATTTTCCTTCTGTGAAATGGGGAGAAGGGTTTTTGTTTCTAGAAACTGGCAAATAAGGCTCACAGAGTGCTTGGAAATGGCCTGGATATAGCATGAGGACCCATCTCGCATCTCTGGGAACTAGAAGACCCACAGGCTCCCGGATAAAGGAAAAGCCTAGCCTGGCCGAATGTGCTCCTGGGTAGGAGGACTGCCAGGGAACCAGGCTCCCGGGCACCCATATTTCCAGTTCAGCTGTGAACCAAAGCTAAGCTGGAACCAGGTTATGACTTCATTTCCCTGCTAATGCCTGCTGATCTCACAAGCTCCTCATTTAAGGTTAGAAGTAACCCCAAAGTCATGTGGTCTAACCTCTGGCCTCACTTGAATACGCTCTGGCTCATTCCCTCTCGCTCTGGCTCATTCCCTCTCGCTCTGGCTCATTCCCTCTCGGGTGGGCTCCAGGTCTCTGAGAGTTCTTTATAATGAGTCAAAAATCCATCTTCTTGTAACTCCCATCCCTTGTTCCAGAGGCTTGGGTACCCCGAGATGCATTCTTCCATGTGACGGCCTTTACATATTTAAATGGCTTTAAACGGCTTGAAATATTTGAAAATGGCTCTCTTGGTTCCCTCAGGCAAAACATCTCCTTTCTACATCACAACTTTTTCAGAAGAACTCAAAAGATCAGTTTTAGGTTCTTACAAGCATTGTGAAGTCTCTATATAATTATTTTTTCCAGTTCACATTAGCCTGCTGAGCGGCTAGACATATCAACTCCATTTCTATTTACAGTCAGACCTCATATAGCGAGTAGAAAAAGCCAAAGGGGGAAAAAGCTGAGACAAACAGATGCCAAATGAACAGGCAAAGGTGATTCAGAGAGTCAGTAGTGGGCATAGGAACAGAGCCCAGGGGTCCCAATTCTTCATTTCTTTCTGAAAGACACTCTACTGTGGTTATGCACAAGGTGGGCAGAAATACCAGTGCCGGCGCCCTGGAGATCCGAGAACACAGGTTCCCCTGATGCTGGAACTCCCACTGAAGTCCACAAGGGGTGGTTTTTCTTGGGAAGCCTCTTTAAAGGGAAATTTTGCTTGCACTTTTAGGATGTGCAAGCCGAAGTGGCAGATTGAATATTAGAAAGGGGAATGCACGGGGTGGGGGGCGCACTCCCTGTACCTCTCAGAAACTCTGCCCCTGACAGTGTCATTTGTGACTCCTGAGCTCTGTTCCTGTTTTAGATATGATGCAGGTCCAGGGGAAGCCCTCCTGACCAGGAAGTGGAAACCCCCCGGGGACCTGTGGGTCTCTGGCCAGGAGCATGGCTTTCAGAAACGCTCCATGAGGAGAGTTTCCCTGGGGACTGGAGGGGACACGGAGGCTGAGCCATTAGAGCAGCAGGAACTTCCTCCTCTTGGCCTTACCCTGGAGACACCTCCCAGATGGAAATGCCTAGAAGCCAAGCCACCCCGGGCTGCAGGATCAGAGTCCAGGCACTATGCACTATGCTTCCAAGGGGCCCAAGAGCCCGAGTCAATGCCCTATCTAACTAGAGGCCAGACTCTAGGCCCAGAGCCTGGGCAGACGGGAGCTCAGGGGTGCATGCTGGCTAGGAAACCATCACGCCAAAACACCCAGCGGGGGCCTGAAGGTCCTGCCCTGTCCGATGAGGAGCCAGGAACCATGGGGTGGAGGAAGGGGCAGAGGTCATCCGCCAAGCATGTTTGGAAAGGGAAGCGGGTACCCAAACATGTGGCCACGGGGTACCCGCAGCTCCAGGCTCCAGCCCTCCGTCTGCACTCGCGCCTCTGGGATGCTGCGATCCGTCAGGGGGCTCTCTTCCGGACGCGGGGCGGTACCTAGGCTGCCTGGCCACACTTCCTCGCTGACCTCTCTTAGGATGCGCGTTTGGGGCCAGTATGGGGCCGATTCACAATTCTCAGAAACCCTAGTATGGGGACTGGGGCCGGGCCGCGACAACCCCAGCGCCCCCTGCCCCAAGCCTCCCTGAGCCCCACACGCCCAGTCCTGCCAGGTTCTTTAAAGCAGGCCGCAGCCATCACTGCAGCCTCAGCTCACACCCCCAGGGAGCTCGTCTTCCCTTTTTTTGAGACACATTTTAACTCCTTCCCCACCACTCCCGGGCAGCGAAAGACTGAAAACTGCCCACCTCGGACTCGACTACCCAAAGGCCTCAGAGCCCCTCTCTCCCGTGTCCCCAGAGTGGGCAGCGCCCCTCCAAACTCGTCCTCTGGTCCGAGGCACCTCCAGCTGCAACTTCTGAGCCAGGCGGAGACTCCAAACTCCCTTCCCGATGCCACCCTCCCCAGACCCCCAGCGAAGACGCCGCGGGTTCCTGGAGGGGAGGAGTCTGGGCGCGAGCCAAGGGCCTCAGCTGATTCCACTATCCCCAGGGGGCGGGTCCCCTCCCCCTCAATAGCGCGGGGCTTCCTCTTCCGGCAGAGAGGGGTTAAAGCCTCCGGGTGGGGCTGAGCTCGCCCAAGCCCCCTTCCCCAAGCCGCTCCAGCCGCCGGGTCCCACGACCCTCCGCACGCGGGGCGGGCAGGCCCGGGCACTTTCGCCCCATCATGCCCCCATGCGCGGGGACCGGAGGGGGCCTGTCTCTGCAGGCGGCGGTTCCCTCCTACCTCGTGACCCCCTGCGGCCGCCAGTCCCAGGGCCCCAGCCCGTGTCCTCGTCCCCCTTCCCCGCCCGCCCCCCCCCCCAGCCGTGCCATCCCGGCCCGGACGGGAGAGCGGGTCGCGCGCCACCCGGGTCCCCCGCGGGCCGTGCTAGGCCCCAAGCGCCCGGGCCCGCTCCTCCCCCGCCCGGCGCCCGGCGGTGCCCGGCCATGCCAGGCGGCGACCCCGGCTCACCAGGGCGCGGCGCGGGCCGAGACAGGCCCGACCCTCGGCAGGCGCCCCGGGCCCGCGCCCCGCGCCCCGCGCCCCCGTACCGCGATCACGTTGACGAAGGTGGTCTTGCCCGAGTACTGCAGCCCGACCAGCGTGAGCTCCATCTCCTCCTTCCAGAACAGGGCCTTGAACCAGTCCAGCAGCTTGTTGAACAAAGCGATCATGGTCGCTGCCGCCGGCCCCGCCCGGTGCCGGCTGCCCGCCGCCCCTCGCTGCCCTCGCGCTGCGGCCCGGAGCGGCCCCTCCCCGGTGCGGCCCGGGTCCCGCGGCTCGGTGCGGGCGGAGGCTCGAGCGCAGCGGCCGACGACTCGCTGCCCCCGGATCCGCTCGCCGATGGGTGTGGCTTCAGCGCCCTCCTCCTCCGCCGCCGCCGCCGCCGCCGCCGCCGCCCCCCTCCCGCGCCGCCGCTGCCCGGCCGTGTCCGGCTCGCACCCGAGCGCGCGCCCCTCCCTCGCCCCGAGCCCGGCCGGCGGGTGGGCTGCGCGGGGAGCTCTCGCGCCTCCGCGGTACGGCCTGCGCCTGCTGGCGTCCGGGGGCACTCGGGGAAAGAGGTCTAATCTATTTTCCCGGGCTGCCGCGCCCTGGCTGGCACCCCGTTCCTTCCTAAAGGGTGGTGGGCCCGAGGTGGGTGAGGTCCCCGTTAAGCAGGGTGGAGGAGGATGGTTCACCCACTTGCCAGGACCCGGAGATGAGATCTCTATGAAAGGCCGGCCAATGGAGGCTTTTTGTTCCCTGAGTCCTTGCCTCTGAACATCTCTGGGGACTGAGTCTTATCCTCTCAAAACCTAACCAGTGGAGAGTAACAACCGGGTTTGGGTGTGTTAATACTCCATCTTGTTTTGTTAACCACAGTTTACCTGAACTGCTTGTTTAGGAAGTCTCTGGCCCTAAGTGAAATAGCTGTTTGAGGCTGATGCTGATTTTCCCTAGTATCACCATAATTCACAGATAAAATCCTACTTGGAGGTGGGGACGGTTTCCAGTGAGGAAGATGTGCGGTGGATGAAAAAGTTGGCCTGTTTTGGTGAAAGCCAAAGTTTTCTTCAGGAGGAGAACTGTCAGCGGGAGGTGTAGGGCAGGCCAAGATGCTGCCTGCCTCAGAGGATATAGCCACAGGGCCTGCGGAACCCCAGGGCTGGCTGTTCCCCAATGATCCCAGGCTTCAGGGCAGGCCCCGACCTAGGATGGGTGCTCCTTAGTATTTGGCTTGCTTTCTTTCTTTTTTTCTTTCTTCCTTCCTAAGATTTTATCTATTTATTTGAAAGAGAGAGCATGAATGGGAGGGAGGGGCACAGGGAGAAGGAGAAGCAGACTCCCTGCTGAGCAGGGAGCCCCCCACATGGGGCTTGATCCCAGGACTCTGAGATCATGACCCCAGTGGAAGGCAGATGCTTAGCTGACTGAGCCAACCCGGCACCCCAGTATTTGGTTTTCAAACGTACTCACATGTAGTCTATTGTTCTAGTTAAAAGTGCATAAACTGTCGACCTAAGCCATATCCATCAAACGTACCCAAGATGACTCCAAATGATCAGACAGTGGAGGGATCACAAAGTATCATCTTTCTAGCTTCTGCCCCTTAATAGGTCCCTATCTAGCTCCTAGGGTACACCTCTGCCCCATTTCCTAAACTGACTCCAGTGTCACTTTGATGTCTCAAGAAGTGCTAGAAATGTGCATATCCTGGGATAAGGATCTGCAGCCTATTCCTGGCCTATGGATTCTTACTCTATTGCTATAAAGAGGCTCCGGAGGCCAGAGAAAAAGATGGAAAGAAGGAATGAATCAGTCATCCAAAAAGCCTTTATTCTCCCACTTGGTTCCTCTTTTAGAGCTTATACTCTCTAAGTTCTAGAACGGGGTCGGGGCGACAGTGCCAGGGAGGGGAGCCTCTGGGCCCATGCTCATGCAGTTGCTTTCCTCCCAGCTGGGTGTGAACTTAGGGCAGGATCAGGCGCTTGAGAACTCTTTGCCTGGCTTCACGGTCACAAGCTGTGAGTGCCTCCCATAGGGGTTAGGCAAGGTGCAGCTGCAGGAGAGCCCACTGTGAGACCAAGCAGAAGCATTAAGAAAATTCACTTCAGATTCAACATTGTGGGTTCTTCCGAAGAGATGTCATGAATGAGGAGGCTCAGCTGTTCTCCAGGATCTAGCTCCTTGGGGGATTCTGCAGAGAACTGGCATCAGCCAAAGCAGACCGCAGGGGCTGCGTGCCCGGAGAGATGATGCCTTCCTTCATCGCCACAGGCAACCCATCTTGGGTTCAAGGACGAAGGATTTAGATGTCTTCCCGGAGGTGTGTAGGTGAGCCCTGAGATAGATCTTGGGTGCCCTGGAAATTGTGTTGATACTGAGATGATGAAGGGAGTTCGTTCTCTGGGATAGACTTTGAGGGACCCCAATTTAGTCTGAGGCCCCAGGTCTGCATGGAATGGGTTCACCCATTTGTTCGTGGAAGCAGCCAGGCTCTCCAGGTGTCTTCTGCAAATGCAGGGGGTGGGGGCCGGGGGGCTGGTTTTCTAAAATCAGGCCAAGCTCTTTGTTTCTCCCTCACTCCTTGTTCTTTTGTACCTCCTCCTACCCCGGGATCTTCCAAGGTCATGGAAGGAGAAGACAGCGGATATTGGGCCTCCCTAGGGAGTAGCTGGGGTGAGTGGCTGGCCATTATGGAGGTAGGGGTAGCCCTCTGGACCGCTGAGGGGCCCCCATACTTTCCCTCTTCCAGAGGTTTCAACTGCTTGGCCTGGTCACCTCTGTAGCCTGATCCCAGGACTCAAGTGTGGGCACAGGGGTAGTCTGGGTTCTTGTTCTCTTCGGCGGGTTATCCAGCCCTCATGGATGTGGGGTGAGGAAGCAGAGTCACTGCTAGGATGTTGAGAACTTGGCCGTGGTCAGGACCAGACTTTTCCCAGCTCTGGCATCTGGCCTGTTTTTGGGCAGGGCCCAGGCGGAAGACCTTGGGATCACTGTCTTGCCAGCCCCAGGAAGGAGATACAGCTGGAGAGGCTTCTAGGAACTTCTCTGATTACTTTTCCCTATGGCAGCAAAGCACCTAATGTCCCTGTCCTAGACGGAGAGATGAAGCTCACAGAGCACTTTGGGAAAGACAGGACTCCTGGGCTCCTTTCTCAGCTCTGTCGTAAATGCCAGCTCCTAGCTCGAAGGTCAGAGAGACACGGGAGGTCCCTCAAGTGTCTGTTTGGGGCTACTAGAGGAAGCAGAAGAATGGCCAGTGGTAAAGACCTGGAGTCTGGTCCCAGTCCTTGCTGATGTAGCTTCCGGTGACTGCATGCGCCTCCTGAGGGGCACCCCTTCTCCAGGCCCACCCAAGGCGTCTCTCAGATCACAAGACCCACTTTCCCAGACCCACCTGCTCAGGCCTGGGGGACTTTGGCACCTGGGCTGGTGGAGGGCGCCAGGGCTCAGGGGCAGGGCTCCTCCGGCAGCTGGGCCGCATACAGGGCCAGCGTGTGATGCAGGAACTGGTACTGCTCCGTGGTCTGGATCATTCCGCCCCTGTGAGGGAAGCAAGCAGACCGCGAGCAGAGGGTTCAGGCCAAACATCTTCATAGTTCACCAGGGAGATTCTCCCAAAGAACCCGTCAGCTACTTCATATGTTCCTCCTCTGGGCTTCCTACTCCTGTTTGCTGCCCCTCACACCCTCCCCACAAGGACAGCCCCTTGGCCCCATACTCAGGGCTGGGTCCTGTGGCTGGCTGTGCTGAGGAGGAGACAGCCCACACTGAAACTTGTTCCTCTCTGACCCATCAGTTCCTGGGGCAGAACCAGGCCCCTGATCCCTCAGGCCGGACAAGGATTATTCCTGAGCCTCAAAGTTTCCTCCTCCCCATCTTAAATGTAAACATAATAATTCCATATATGTGTATAGTAGGTTCTTATATTCGAAAAACACATTCACAGTGAGTTAACTCATTCCTTACAACAGCTGTCTGGGGGAAGGAGCCATTATTTCTCTCCGGATAAAGACATGGGGGCCCAGAGAACGATCATGATAGCTCAGTGAGATGCAAGGCAGAATTTGCACCCTGGTTCCCTCTCTCCAGATCCAGTGGGCTTCTGTGCATTATCTGTGTCTACCTAGTGTTTAGAACCAACCATCCCCTATTCCTCCACCTTTCCCTGGGTAGGGAATTTGGAAAAAACAAACCCAGAAAAGATGTAAGGCTCAGATATCCACAGAGTGGCACATTTCAATCTCGGCCCCCAAGCTAAAATTCTAGATAGAGATTCTTTCCTGGGTGTTAGGTGCAAAAGAAACAGCTCTTTAAGCCAAGGGCCCCTTCCCTTCTCGAGGGAGTGCTTGATGGTGCCTCTAAGTGCTCTGGAGCCCAGGAAGCACGGAGGCTACTCCTCCACGGTGCTGCTCCCATCCACATCCGTAGACCCACCTGTCCAGCCGCAGTTGGCACACGATGCCCAGAATGTCCACTTCCCCGCGGGCCTTCAGCTGTTGACAGCCAATTCGGGTGGCGATGAAGCAGCCAGTCCGGCCAATCCCTGCACTGGACACAGCCAGGGAGGGGACAGGGAGGTCACAGGAGACTGGGGAACATGGGGGCCAGGCGAGTGGGAAACATGGGAGACAGGTGACCAGGGAACACAGGGGCCAGGCCTCAAACTACAGAGAAAGTCGTAGGGCACTCTGTTTTAGGGGTGGGGACATGAGGATGGAGGAAGGCCGCAGTACCTTCTCAGGTTAGAGCTGGTGCTGGAGGAGGTTACGTTTCCTACTAGTCTTGCCGTATACCTTTCCCAGGTCCCCCTCCAGTCCCCGTGGACATTTCGAGGAGCCGTCTTCTGCTTAGCAGCAGGAAACGGTTTCCAGCTATCAGTGCTCACACTGGGCTAGCGGAGCCCCTGTGACCTCCTCCATCACCACAGCTGCGGACACTCAGCCCCCTTTTCCCACCTTGAGTCCTTCCCACAGCTGGCCCTCCACTCTGCTCTGTCTTGCTCTTTATTTCAAAATCTTCTCAGCCCCCCTTCTTTAGGAAGACTTGTCTGAACCCTTGATAGAAGCCACTCAGGGCTTCCCAGCACTTAATGTCTAGGCGCCACCTGCAGGGAGGGGGCTCATGAGTCCCCTCCGTCTGTACTAAAAAAAAAAAATTATTTATTTATTTATTTATTTATTTATTTATTTATTTATTTATTTATTTATTTATTTGTCAAAGAGAGGGGGAGAGAGAGAGAGAGGCAGAGGGAGAAGCAGGCTTCCCGCCGAGCAGGGAGCCCGATGCGGGGCTCGATCCCAGGACCCTGGGATCATGACCCGAGCCCAAGGCAGACGCTTAACTGGCTGAGCCCCCCAGGCATCCCACCTC